CCCTAGTAGCGTCCTTGCACCTAGTAGCGATGCCCTTTGCTCCTAGTAGCGTCCAAGTCTATCTCTAAAGACGTCTATTCATGGACCTCATGCGACAGGTCTATCCAATTCTTTGCCGCTTCAGGTTGTGTCTCGTTGCGTTGATGACACGCCACTTCGGCACCTTGAGTTGCTGGTAGATGGTCGGATCAGCCGTCAGAATCTCTGCCATCACGCTGTGATGCCTCCGCACAAAACCAGAAGACAAAGGGGGGCTCCAAGTTACTAGTAGTAACAAGGTTCGCTACTAGGAACAAGTGCCACGCTAGTAGTAACAGGTGCCTTACTAGTAGTAACAAGAAGCTATTAATTTAACTTTAACTTAATTCTAATAGCTTGCAAGCACCCCCCACCAAGCAGCAGAAGCTATGGCACCTGTCGACTACTCGTCCTTCCCACTAAGGTAAGTGCCTCGAGAGATCTGGCATCTCCGGTGGACACGTCTCAGCCTTGGTGCCACAGTCACTTGAAGACGGACATGGACCAAGCAGAAGATGTCCTTTTTGGGGGGGAGCGGGTAGGCCAGTGGAAGAGGGAGGTAGTAGGTACAGGTAGCTAGTACCTTACTCAAGCCACTAGTATGGATGCAGGATAGCTCACGCTTCTTCAAGGAAGCTCCCCCCGCCTGAGGCCAAAAATAATGGTTCCTGAAGGATTTGCATTGTGATAGTTGGAGGCCATCGCTATTATGTTGGAGGCCATCGCTCTTAGGTTGGAGGCCATTGCTATTCTTGAAGGATTTTAAAAGTGTGTGTGTGTGTGCGTATATGTCTTTTTTGGCATGTTTTTTTGCTTTGTGTTCATTTTGTGTTTGTTAATTCCTTTCTTCTGTAGTCTTTGTTCCTCGTGAGACCACTTTCTTTTCCTTCCGCGGGAGTTCGGCCGGCACTGGCTGCAGAGTACGCGCTGAGCTTTTGGAAGAACATATCAGAGCAAGTGTTGAATAAGCCACAGAACATGTCACAAGACATTCCACACACTTGTACAAATGTCAGAACAAATGTCGGACCGTATGTCACAACACAGAGCACATGTCAGAATATTGTGTCAGTGCATGCGTCAGTGAGCGTTTGTCATGATAGTCAGATAGTCTGTCAATATCTGTGCTCTGCCTGTCCTTCATACTTTATTGGTAATGACTCGAAAGTTAGTACAACTTAATTGTAAACGACAGCTTGTAGTAACAAGTGCCACCTTACTAGTAACAAGTGCCTTACTAGTAGTAACAAGGACGCTACTAGTA